TTTGGCGGCCGCATGTTAAGTCAATTTGCCCATCCTGAAAAGGTGGGCTCAGCTCGTCCCTGCCCCACCCCTCAGCCTTACCCTTCTGGGGGGCCATGGGTGGGGACGGGACACAGCTCACAGGACAATAAAGCACGCAGACCCCCCTGCTGGGTACGTTCTCTGAAGAAAACTGAAGAAGCAAGGAGTGGGTGCTGAGCTGCGAGTGCGCTGATGGGGTGCGTGTGCCACGGGGACCCCTGGGCAAAGCACCTGAAGAAGGGTGAACCCAGCGCAGGCGTCCGAGGGACAGGTGGCCGAGAGCCCTGGTGCGGCCCGAGCAGGCAGGCGGGGCTGTAGGGGGTTCGGTTTTCACCCTGTGGGAGCCGGGAAACCGCAGGGGCTTCTGAGCAGAGGGTGTGTGCGCTCTGACCGGGTTGAGGGCTTTCTGGGGACTGTACCTGGGATGCCAATTTGAGAGGGCCAGAAAATTTATCCTCAACCTGCAAGGAGGCAGAAGAGGTCACTGGGTGCAACATTCAGTGCTGGGCGTCTCTGTGGGGGGCGGGGGGCAGACGCCCCCAGAGCTGGCAGTTGAGGGCCCTGTTGCATCCACCACCCAGCAAACTCCCCCTGACTTTTCTCTGTCAAGCTGTCCCTATACGCTGGTGTCTCTAACACCCTTTGGATTGGTTCTAACACCTTACTGGTTCCCTTATTAACCGCCACCTGTGATGCATGCTGGCCTGGGGGTCAGTCTGCCCAGTGGGAGCAGACCCGGTGGGTGGGCAGGTCGGTGGGGCACCCAGAGGCTCTGAGGACAGCGCGGGGCAGAGTGCCCGCCAGTGACAGGTGGCCTCCACAGCCATGAGCCTCGAGCCAGCCCTGTGCTGAGTACATTGTCTCATTCAATCTCCACGACCACCCGTGACAGGATCCACGCTTACTGCTATTACTTGTCACTGTTTTACAGATGATGATGCTGTAGCTGGACTGAGACCAGACCGGGCTCTGAACCCAGATGGCTGACTTGAGACCCCTCATTGTCCACCAGCAGTCCTCAATCCGGGCACATGGGGTGGTGACTGGGGACATTTGTGATGGTCACAACTCAGGGAAGGCGCTGCTGACGTCCAGCGGCCAGGGATGGTGCTCCAATGCACAGGATGTTCTCAGGGTAGAGTCTCCGGGCCTGAAGGGCTGATGGTGCAACGCCACTCTGAGCCACGATGCCGGCACCCCGCAGCCGAGGTCGGCCCCCTCCCCTAACCCCCCACGCTTCTCTCGGCCCCTCCTCACAGGTGCAATTGTTCACCCGCTTGGATTTCTTCCATTCTATCGCCCTCTGCATCGTAACCTCTCTGTTTCCTTCCCTACGGAATCCTCCGTCCCTTAATTGGCCAATAATCAATACTCCATACACATCCGCTCCCGGGTGGTCTATGATTTCTGGTGCATCTGTGCTCACCCTGAAAAAGCCCTCAGGGTATGCGGCAGAGAATAGGGTTGGCAAAGTGTGGCCGCTCCCTACAGCGGCCTTAGATGGTGGAGAGGAGGTGTCATTACCATTAGCTTAGGAAGGGAGGGCAAGTGGACCGAATGCAAGCCCCTGGGAGGCTCATTTTTCATTGTCCTTGAAGCTAATCAAGCCTGTGGAAACGGCCCCGCCAAATTGACTAAACGAGATTTTCAATTAGCTCGCACAGATGGCGTAGATGTTCCAGGTGACTGTCCATATTAATTCGGAGAGTGCGGCGGACGGGGCCCCAGGGGGCTTCGGGGAAGAGCCAGCATCGGCGGATCGCCAGGAGAGGGGGCAGAGCAACGCGCCAAAGGCTTCGCCCACCCCAGCACAAATATCTCCAGCCAACTCGACTGGGTCCCCTGGCCGGTGCCCCCAAAAGGCCCGTCCCCAAGGAGGGGCCGTAAGGGTGTCAGGCCTGGGGCCTGGCTGCCCGAGGCGGGATCAGCCCAGAGCAGGGATGAGGGCTGGTCTGCCCACCTGAGGGCCTGAGCGCACTGGACATCTTTCGGAGGAAGGGAGGGTTGAAAACGCCCCATGGAATCCTACAGGGACCTCTGGCTTCGGGGGTGCAGGCAGATGGTCTGACTGTGGACGTCACCGCAGGAGGTAATGACACAGACCAGCAGGAGCACAGGCTCCAGATCCGGTCTGAGCTGGGTCCCTGGAGCAGCCGAGGGGCGGGGCCGAGGTGCCTGCCCTTCCAGACGCTGCCGGAAGCTACTAATCATGTGGGGTTTTGGGAACTAGACAGAAAAGACCCAGGCTAGAGCTGCGGCAAAATTGGGGCTATTTGCTGACTCTCAGAAGGGATCGTTTTGGGCTTCACGGGTCCCTTTTTGGATGAATGGGGTTCTCTGAATGCTTGGGCCTGGGTACCAGCCCCACACCCTCCTCCTGCCCGCCTCCTCATCGATATTCCCACCAGAGAGGTTTCAGGAGGACTTAGGCGGGCTCTGGAAGTGACCATGTCCCCAGGCGGCTTGAGCCTCAGGACAAGATGATACTCAGACCACTTCACCTTCAGAGGCTACTCATTTGCCTTGATCAAAAAATAATCCGTCTAGACTTTCTGGCCAGGAGAGAGGTGTAGGTAGACCCCTTGTGCCTTCTCGCACAACCAAAATAAGGATGACAACAATTTAGAAACAAAATAACAACCAGAACTAACAGAATACTGAGCTGTATGGAAGTCGGACAATGAAGAAGTTAAAATAGACACATTTATCTAGACTGGTAGGAAGGGTGGAGTCGGGCCACCAGGCGGAGTGGGGTCACAGCACAAAAAGCGGTGGCACCGGGAGTGCAGGACAGCAGCGGGTGGACCCTGGGTGTGGGGTGGCAGCGGGCACACTCAGGGAGGCAGCGATTGTGAAGCGAGGTCCAGTGCGCACACACGGCTGGCGGACTGGGCAGTCTGACATTCGCACGCAGATAAACCAGTTGAAATTGGGGGGCAAAACTGGGGAGTGAGACAGCCCATACAACCTAGGGTCCCAGCGTGGGGAAATGCAGCCTCAAAACACCAATTAAAAACACCTGTAGGGGTTGAGGCGCAGGGAGAGACTCCCAGGCTCACAGGAGAGTTCGTTGGAGAGACCCACAGGGTCCTAGAACGTACACAAGCCCACCCACACGGGAATCAGCACCAGAAGGGCCCAGTTTGCTTGGGAGAAGTGGCAGAAGGGACTGTAATCCAAGAGAGAGCCGAACAAGTGTCATTGTTCCCTCTCTGACCCCGCCCCAGCAGAGAGCATCACGACCCAGTGACTGGGTCGCCCCGCCCTGGTGAACACCTAAGGCTCTGCTCCTCATGTGTAACAGGCATGATAAGACCAAAAAATGGCTCAAACAGAAGAATAAATCAAAACCCAGAGCCAATACTTCTAAGCAACCAAGAGATAGCCAAGCTGTCAGATGCACAGTTCAAAACACTGGTGATCAGGATGCTCACAGAATTGATTGAATTTGGTCACAAATTAGACAAAAAAATGAAGGCTAAACTAAGTGAAATGAAGGGAAATGCTCAAGGAACCAATAGTGATGGGAAGAAAACGGATTCAAATCAATGGAGTGGACCAGAAGGAAGAAAAAAATGACCAAACAGAAAAGAATGAAGAAACAAGAATTCGAAAAAATGAGGAGAGGCTTAAAAACCTCCAGGACATCTTTAAATGTTCCAACATCTGAATTACAGGGGTACCAGAAGGGGAAGAGGAAGAGCAACAAGGGGAAAACTTATTTGAACAAATAATGAGGGAGAACTTCCCCAATCTGGCAAAGGAAATAGACTTCTAGGAAATCCAGGAGAGTCCCAAAGAAGTTGGACCCAAGAAGGAACACACCAAGGCACATCATAATTACATTATCCACGACTAAAATGAAGAAGAGAATCCTAGAAGCAGCAAGAGCTAAGGGGACAGTCACCTACAAAGCAGTTCCCATCAGACTGTCAGCTGATTTCTCAAGAGAGACCTTACAGCCAAGAAGGGGCTGGAAAGAAGTATTCCAAGTCATGAAATCCAAAGACCTACATCCAAGATTGATCTATCCAGCAAAGCTTTCCTTTAAAATGGAAGGACAGATAAAGGGCTTCTCAGATAAGGTCAAGTTGAAGGAGTTCATCATCACCAAGCCCTTATTATATGAAATGTTAGAGGGACTTATCTAAGAAAAAGAAGATACAAATATGAACAGTGAAAGGACAGCAAACTCAGTTATTAACAACCACACCTAAAACAAAAGCAAACATCAGGAGCGGAACCATAGAAATGAAGATCACATGGAGGGTTAGCAACAGGGGAGTGGGAGGAGGAGAAGTGGGGAGAAGGTACAGAGAATAAGTAGCATAGACGGTAGGTAGAAAATAGATAGGGGGGAGGGCAAGAATAGTATGGGAAATATAGAGTCTAAAGAACTTGTGACACATGGACATAAACGAAAGGGGGGATGTGGGGATAGAGAGTGTGCAGGGTGGAGAGGAATGAAGGGGGGAAATGGGACAACTGTAATAGCATAATCAATAAAATATATTAAAAAAATAATCCATCTAAACGAGACGCACACAACAGCAGGAGAGTTATCTGTGTCAGAATGTTCCCCCAGCCACGTGGCAGTTGCCTCACCATCTGCGAGGTTTGGCTCACGGAACAGGAGTCTCTGCTCAGATCCCAGAGCCAGCAGGGGACTGCAATGCCCTAAAATCATGCTCTGAAAATGGGGCGTCAGAGACAGAAAGTCTTATATGGCAGGGATTTTCTGGGAAAGACTGTGTCGTGCGCCCCCTGCTGGAGACGTGCAGTTAACGGGGGCTCCTTCCCAGACGGGCAGGGGAATGGATCCCCGGCGTCACACAAAACGTAAGTAAGACTTCAGGCACTTACTGTTTTCTTGGATGTTGACATTGGCTATAAAATACATCGGACACCATGCAAATGCGACCTCAATAACTCATCGAATTATTACTGTTTTGTGACATAGCTGAGAGGAGGGTTCAAACCTCATGCGTGGGTCGTCGGGCGGCATCATCTCCAGGTCGTGGGTGGGTCCATTTAAGCCGATGACATGCAGGGAGATGGTGGGGTTTTCACAGCCAGCCTGGGAAGGACAGAAGGACAGAAGGACAGGGAGGTGAGGAAGCCACCTGCTGCCTGGACAAAGCTGAGCCCTGCGAGGTCTTCCCAGGACGGACTCAGGCCTGGGGACCCTGGAGCTCCGCGCTAAGGGGCGGAGCCTGCTGAGGGCATGTGGTTGCTGGGAGGACGTGAGGACTGGAGGTGACCGAGGCGGCCAAGCCCTGCTCTGCCTGGGGATCCACCCCATCCTCCCTGTTCCCCCCACCCCCACCCCCACCACCTGTCAGTGCCAGGGAAGCAGCATTCGACTCAATTAACCACCGGGGGTGAGAGAGAACCTAGACACGGAGAAGGAGGGAAACTTCCAGAAGTGGAGAGCATTGCCGATGCCGGCCGTGGCCCCGAGGCAGGGAAAACGAATTCCTGTGAAAGGAACTGAACCTCCTCCCTGCTCGCCCCCTGCTCCCTGGGCCCTGGGACGGGGTGCCCCAGCCTGGTCCGCGGGATGGGGGGACTGGACTGCCGCCCTCACCTCCTCTGCTCCCCGAGAGGAAGACGGCCCGTGTGCCCGGGGAGATGAGCCCCACGAGTGGGCCGGGTCCGGCGGCCTGCCAGCTCGCGCTCTGACTCGGGAGCAGGCGTTAGGCGGCCGGTTTGCCTGAACTCTGCCCGTGAGAATGGGGCGGCTCGCTGTGCACACACAAAGCCTCTGAACCCGAGTGAGCTCCAGGCCCCGGTCCCAGGGCTGACCGCGAGGTCAAGGATGTCGGCCCTGGACGGAAGGGGCCCTGCTATGGGGGTCACCCAGGAAACGGTCCCGGGTTAGACAGTAGTGCGTGGTGTGTGCAGTGTCTGAGTGTGCGACTGTGAGTGTGTATATGTGTCAGTGAGTATGTGAGTGTGTATGTGTGGTGTGTGTGTTTGTAGTGTTAGTGTGTGAGTGTAGTGTGTCAGTGTGAATGTGTGTTTATGTATACTGTGTGTGGTATGTGTGTGTATCCGTGTGGTATGTGAGTGTATGAGTGTGTATATGTGAGTGTGAATGTGAGTGTGTGTATGTGTTCCTGAGTGTGTGGTGTAGTGTGTGGTATGAGTGTGTATGTGTGTGGTGTGTGAGTGTATAAGTGTGTATGTGTGAGTGTGAGTGTGAATGTGTGTATGTGTTCCTGAGTGTGTGGTGTAGTGTGTGCTATGAGTGTGTATGTGTGTTTGTAGTGAAGGTGCTCAGTGTGTGTGTCAGTGTGAGTGTGCACATTTGTGTGTTTGTGGTGTGTGTATATGAATATGCGTGTGTGTGATGCAGTGTGGGATTATGTTGCCGTGTCTAGTGTGGTGCGTGTAAGTGCACGGTGTGTCCATATGTGTGTGTGAGAGGTGTGAGCGTACGAGTGTGTGCAGAGGCACGCAGGCCGGCTGAGAGACTGGCGCCGTCCGCCCAGCGCCCCGTAGCCTGGGCCCTTCCACGGGCTTTCTGCTAACGATGAGCTGGAACAGAGAGGAAGAGTTCTGTCCCAGGGCAAACCCGCGTCCCGGTGACACCTAGGTGCTGCTAGGACAGAAAACAGCAGGGACAGGTGCTCCTCCACCTGGGGCCACCCGGACCAAAGGGCAACGGAACGCAGTCATGTCAGCTGTTAGGGACCGAGGTCTGGGTCCCTCCCAAACCTCGTTAGCCTGTGACGCCCCAATTCCTAACGGGGCTGGTCACTGGGGTTCAGTGTGGCCCTGACAGTTGGCCCCGTGATGGGGCCAGTGTCCTTGTAAGAAGAGGAGGGGTCCGGAGCCGTCCCTCCACCCCCTGAGGACACAGGAGAGATGGCTGCCCGGGGCCCAGAGGAGGGTGGTTGGCAGAGCCCAGCGGCACCGGCAGCCTGGCAGCGGACTCCCGGCCCCCAGACCTGGGAGACATGAATGCGCTCTGGCCCAGCCTCTGGGTTTGTCACCATATTCGTCCCAGCTGCCCGAGCTGACCGAGACACCGGGTGTCTTCCCCCCAGCACCTGGCCGGCTGCACCTGTGCACTGTCATCCCTCCTGCTGTTGTGTGACGTGTGGGGAGCGGGGCTCGGTGCCCTCTGGCAGAGGTCGGAGTGGCCCTTCGGGGGATCCCCCTGACAGGAAGTGTGCACTGTCACCAGGCAGGGGCTGGGAGCTGCCTACCACAGCCGCGAGGGTCCACGGGAGCTGTGTGTCCCTCCCTCAGACGTCCGCTCTCTCTGGGTGAGTGGGCAGCAGAGGTCTGGTGTCGGTCCCTCCCTGGGCACGGTGTTCTAGTTTTCTAACAGAACGGGGCCAGACACTGGCCCCTGTCCCCTGTCCTGCCCAGTGCCCTGTGTCCTCTCCAGCGCCTTGTGTCAGCATTGCGGTCTGGGAAGCCGTTAGACACACTACTGGCCAGATGTGACCGAACACACAACAGCCCGGCGTGGACCCAGGGGCCAGGGGCAGGCAGGACCCTTGGGCCTCCCTGGAGCCAAATCCTGAAGACGGAGCAAAGGCAGAGTGTCCCGAGGGTGGGCCGGTGAGTGCCTGTCTCCCAGAATCACACGTGGAGGGAATGTGCTTATTTTGATTCCGATGGAGCTCGGAGCAAGGATCAACAGCTCAGTTCTTTAAAACAAGGTGAATGCGCCAAGAAGTTGAACTCAGTGGCGGGGACTGCGTGCGCTGTAACGGGAGATAATTCACTGCCTCTGTTGGTGGAGCAGCTCCTTCCATGTCTGAGGGTGGCAGCCTCACCACGCAGGACAGCAGGGTGGCGGGGGGGGGGCGGCACTTACCTTGGGGTAGTGGTAGGACTTCACGGTGGGGTACACGGCGCCTGTGTAGGTCGGGAGCTCCATGATGGGCACCCGGGAGTCGTTGATGGTGGCGTAGGCGAGTCGCGTGCCGTCCGGAGACCACCAGTGCGCGATGTGGGTTTTCAGGATCTCCTCTGAGGGCGAGTGGAGCAGAGAGATGTGACTGGTCAACGCAGGGGTCGGGACCCCGGGAGGTGCAGGCTCAGTTGTAGGTGACTCCTGGGGACACTGCCTCTGCAGCTGGGAGAGGTGGGTCCCCCGGGCCCTGCATCTGCCCTCCCACCAGGGAGCTCAGGGAGTACCTGGCCCAGATGCCAAGTTCAGCACCCTGACGCCTGATCCATCAGGGCCCAAAAGAATGGGGGCCGATTTTCTGGAAACTGTTTCTTTTTGTACATGGATTTGAGCAGTGTGAACCTCACGAGTGTGCTCTGAAGTGAATCGATACCGTACTGTTGAGGACTCTCACTGGAAGATGATCTGAACAGCAAACCACTCACGCTGAAGCCGCCCCAGCCGCCACAGCCAGGCTAGGCCCCGGGGCAGAGGGAGGCAGGGTCCTGGAGCCCTACTCAGCTGTCAGGGGGCGCCTGGGGGTGCGTGCCTTCTGCGTGCTCACTGCGTGTTGGCTGGGTATGTACCACGTGTATTCTGTGTGTGCATACTGTGTATACCTGGTTTACTGTGTGCATCCTGTGTGCCTATCATGTGTACCCTGTGTGTGTGCTGTGCCTACTGTGTATATCCTTGGTGCACACTATGTGTTCCCTGTGTGCTTACTGTGTGTATCCTGTGTGCCTGCTGTGCACCTACTGTGTGTATCCCGTCTGCACACACACAAGAGGCAGAGCTAGTGCGTGGAAGGGGCGGGCCTATGGAAAACACTGGGAAAGGTGACGTTTATCTTTGGCTCCTTCCGATCTCCGTTCTGCTTCGCTCACCCCCGTCCACCACTGCTCCAATGCCCATCTCTGATGTGAACGCCAGCGAGCATGGCCAGCAACATGGGTGGGGCCGCGGGGACACCTGTCTGCAGCAAGTCATCCTGCCCCACACTGCCCCCTACATGCTGGCAGCCTGGCAGCAGCCTGCCACGGTGCCGTGGGACCGACCAAACAGTTTTCAACTCAGCTCCTGAAACGTGTCCAATTTACAAAATGGAGAAAATCTGCCATTCTATTCTGACCTTGATATTAATTTAATAATCTGCACAGAGATTGGTTTAATGTCTGAGGCAAAATGTATTATCAACCCCGTAATGATTTTTAATTCCCTTAGACAGTTATACTTTCTCCCTGGTATTTTGCCAAAGCTGATCAGCCTGATAATAGTCACAGGAAAGTTAAGATGATTGAGATTCTGAAATTAGAATTTTAATTGAAGCATCAGTTAACTACCAACTGAGAGAGACGGTGGTTTGTATTTATGAAGGGTTTTTTCTTAAAGAACTGACTTCATTTTGTCCTTTTCTGAAAGTTAGAATTTTTCACCAGAAAGCAAAATTATAGCCTTGAAGTGATAGGTAACATTTCCTTTATACCATGGTTTTATTTTAAAATTTTTATTTCCCCTTGAGATGCATTACAGAGAAGTTCATCATAGCGCGTGTTTTCAGCAGAGAACCCTGACCGAGCAGTCGTCACTGATTGGCTGGAGCTGCTCTGCACAATTATTTAATATCAGTGGAAACATACTTTAAAAATAATGGGTATCAGAAACCATGTGTATCAAATTGCAAATTACTCTTTAGGGGTTTTTAAAAATTCTCTCCTGAGGTTATGTTTTTATTGATTTTAGAGTGAGAAGAAGGGAGAGAGATGGAGGGAGACAGAAAGAGTGAGAGAGAAACATGGATCAGTTGCCTTCTGTATGTGTCCCAGTCAGGGATCGAACCCGCAACCCAGGTATGTGTCCTGACCAGGGATCGAACCCATGATCTCTTGGTGCACGGGGACGACGCCCCAACCAACTGCACCACCGACCAGTGCAGATTGTTACTGTTGCTTTTCTAAGAGGAAGATTAATTGACTATAAACTAAAAACAACCCTTGGAACAGTTTCTATTCTCAGCTGTGTCAAGTTGTTAATTTTTGTTTGTTCTGCTGATCTACTTGTACGGACACGTCCTGACTGCAGGGGTCAGCACCACAATTCTGTGTGCAGGGGGAGGGACGGTGGGGAGGGGACGGCAGGGGAGCCATAGGCTGCCACCTGTTTGGGGGACACAGGAAAAACAGAGATGGCAAAGCCCAGCCAGTCCTCACGTTCAGGCCTGACAGCCATTTCTAGAGCTTCCACCCTCTGAACTCCCGGGCTGGTGGCCGTCACCTGGAGCTGGACCAGCTCCGTGGGCTGAATATCGGGCCACAGAGGCGAGGGGGCCGTGCCCAGGACACGAGTTTTACCTGCCCCCTGCTGGGGCTCGTGTGCTGGAGCTGGGTAGCAGTTTCTCAAACTGTGAAGCTGAAAGAAGAGAGAGTGACAGGCAATGACTCATTGGACGTCACCCCCACCCTTCCTCTGAGGACAGCCACCTGGGTGGCCGTCTACTGCCTGAGGTGATAATTGGTGGAATTAACACGGGGACCCGTGATACAGTGAGCCTCTACCAACTGGGCATCACACACTTGGCGCCCTCCCTGGCACAGGCTGTGGTCTCTGCATTTATGTAAGAAATGGAGAGGGGACCCCGGTGCCTAGGTGGACATCTGATTACTGAGCAGGGACCAAGGTCCCTAAGCCACCCATGTATTCCTGCTGTGTGGCTTTAGCAGCCTGACACTGAAGGATGACATTTAAGTTCCCCAGGTGTGTTTACAAGAAAGTGATGCAAGATTCGGTATCTGGGCAGGGCCGCAGGAGGCAAAGGTGTACGCCTCAATGGGAAGGGGAGCCGGAGCATTTTCGGGAGCGATGTGCCCCAGAAGCCTCCAGCCCCGTGGGACACGGTCAGTCCCTGTGAGCCAGGAGCTGCCCGCATCATCAAGAAACACGGCCCCGGGGGAAAGCACACTGCCCAGCACAGTGCAGCGTGGTATACAGCAGGCGCTCAGTCATGGCTTGAGCTGAAGTACACTGAGATGAACAGCCAAGGTGGAAGTCCCGTGGGCCGGGGCCACTCCTGTCCCTCCCTCACCTTGCATGCGGTAGCCGACAGGTGTCACGATTCATCTGCGGTCCCTCAGATGCCCTGGCTTGCTAGGCCCAGACAGCCCATTCTTGTCCCAGGTCGGCCTCAGAACAGAGGGGCGCCCTTGACCACGCCTCGCCCTTCAACAGTGCTGCGCCAGCCGGAAGTGCTCCCCAAATGTTTCCAAGGCCAGTGGACACGTCAGAACCTCCATGGGTGGTCCAGCCATTGCAAAATATCCCCGCTCGCCACGCCAATCAAGGGTTTTTGCCGGTTGTACAGACCCTGGGTGTCACGTGGAATTGTCTCACTGATCCTGGCAATGTCAGGGTGCCCAGGAGCAGGGCCAGGAGTTGAGGCCCAGGGGCACTGGAAATAGGCTAGCAGGAAGTGTTAGAGCCTTGCCCTGACTCGGGGTGCAACGTCACACCCTCCCTGGCTTTGAGGAGCGGTGGGCTGGACACCTTTGCCAGGAGGCCGGTGCCTGACCCTGGAAACTGGAACCTGGAACTGAGGGGCAGAGCCAGGCGCGGTCTCCGGACTACTGGTTCAGGGCTGTACCCAGGACACAGTGGGCGCGGCCAGCCAGAACCCAGACCTCAGCTTTCCTGCGACGCTTCGCGCAGTCTGGCAGCTCAGGCGGCTGTTTGGCGGCTCCCTCTGCCTGAGTCACACCAGTATTGCCACCTGTCATTTTGTAAGGAGGCCAGACATGCGTCAAAACAGAACGTAGGTGGGGAGACGGGCCGGAAGCGACGGCCCTGTGGCTGCCTCTGCCAACAAGTGCCTGGCCCCCACACCCTGCTTCCCCGTGCAGGGCCTACTGAAGACAATCAAAGCACCCTGAGAAGTCACATCCTGGAAAACCGCAAAAGACATAAATAACATGCTGGATAGATCTGTTTTCAAAAATAAGTGGCCTCCTTCTAAATACAGAAAATCCGATTTATTCTCAGTTGCATCTGCTGCCATTTCCCTGCCGCTACTGATTTTACCCGAGGTGCCGAGAACAGAACTAACTGGAGGGGGCGCTAAAAAAGAACGGGGCGCGTGCACAGCTGGAGGTGTGTGGAGCTGCTCTCTGGTGATGTGGACAGCCCGCTGGCCAATCAGCGTGCTGCGATTTGCATCTCATTTTCATCAGAGACCTGTCCAGCAGAGCCTAACCTGAGCGCTTGAAGCACGCAACCCCGTGGCGGCCACCAGGGGGCAGCATCCGCCACGCACTGCTGGCCAGGAGGGAGTGCCCTGGGGTGGGGGGTGTGGTTCTCCGTTCCACCGCTGATAGTTCACTGGGGCAGGTTTTCCTTGTGGCTAAAATCTACCTCTGTGTCGGTGCCCCGTCTCCCTCTCTGTCTCTTCATGTTTCTCTGTCTGTCTGTCTCTCACACACACCCCGTCCCCACTGCTGCCTGAGCAACACCCCGTGCTGGGTTCCTCTTTCCCATCCCGCCCTCACTGAACAGAGCCAACAAAGTCCGTTCCCCATCTCCCCTACAGAGGAAAGGTCCCTAGTACATAGTTTCCAATTCCCCTTTCCATTTACTTTCCACTGAATGATGATGTTTTTCCTGGCTCGGTTCAATGCTACAATGAAGCCAAAGTCATTATATAAAACCCGAGCCCACGGAGAGAGGGCCCAGTCCCCACCCCCTGTCCTGAAGGTAGAATGGCTGTGACTGAGTGGGGACAGCAGATGAACCAACCGCAAGAAGGCCTGGACACCCCCCAAACTCAGCCATAACCACGCATGACGATTCCGCCCTCATTTCTGGCTTTCCTGTTTTTAATGGGCCATCCAGTAACCTGTTCCGCTCTTCCCCAAAGAGCCCAAGGGAACTTTGTTTGGCTGAGCGATGCAGGGCTTTTTGAGCATGCTGAGTGTTTTGGGAAGAGTTGGCCAATGGCTGGGATCTGCTCTATCCACACGCCCATGAACTCCAGACCCCCACCTGCTCCTCCTCAAAGCCAAGGCCAGTGGATGGGATGGAGGCCAGGGGTGCC